ACAGCACTTCTTTCAATTTTTAAACAATTTTTTTGCGAAAAATTTCAAATTTTTGTACCTTCCCACCACTCGAAACCTCATCATCCACCACAATTTTCACATTTTTCGTTTTTCTCGAAAGTTCGTCTTCTTCTTTTTCTTGACAAATTTCTTGTGGCGTCGCTCCCGACTCGCCGGTTGCCGCTTCTTTTTGCATTGAATTCAAAACTGAGATTTATTTTTTTTTTGAAAAAAATCCCAAAAATTCCTACCTGGATCCTTCATTTTTGAAGCTCAAATACTGCTGAAAATTGATTTTTAAGCTAAAAAGGGATTTTAAAAAATGGGTTTTGTGCAGCAAAATCGGAAAAACTGAACGAAATTGGTCCCGAAATTGGCGCAAAATGCGAAAAGAGCGCTTGCGCGTAGTTTATATTGCACAGTGAACTTTTTTGTGTATCGTAACCCGAAAAAGTATTCAATGAAAGGAGAATTTTCAAATAGAATTTCCAGCTTTTTAACCATCGAAAATGTCTGAAAATCCGCTGAAAAAAAAGAGGAAAATTATTTTTTATCATTTGAAAAAAACCCGTTTTCATTTTCCCCCTCTTCCTCGACTCCCTCCTTCGCGCCTTTCTCTCCACCGCGCCCTTCTTATACGGCATGGTGACCTAATTCTCTCGCCGCCCGGTTAGCTCAGTCGGTAGAGCACCAGACTCTTAATCTGGTTGTCGCGGGTTCGAGCCCCGCATTGGGCTTATGCTTTTTGCTTTTTTCGTTTTGCGATTTTAGGACTTTTTAATCAATTTCCTATCATTTTTCACCTATAAATCCATATTTTTTCATTAAAAAAGACATTTGGGAATTTGAGATTTAGAATTTATTCTTCCTGGGTAGAGAGACAGAGAAAAAAAGCAGACAAATTTAAGAAATTCAATGTTTTTGGAGCTGACAGAAAGAGAGATGGAGAGACATAGAGACACAGTAAAAGTCAAAAGAAGGGTACTAATTTTTGTTTAAGTTACAGGAAAAAATAGAGAGAAAAAATAACACACTAAATTTTACTTTTACACAAAATGAGAAATTTTTCAAAAAATTCAAAAAAGTTAGGCATGACTGTAGAATAGAGATTTTTTGATGAAAACATTGAAAAGAACTAATATTAGAGAGACCCTCTAATAGAGGGGCAGGGGAGGGGGGGGGAAGGAATTAATAAGAAAAATAAATTATTAGAGGAAATTTAGAAAAATGAGAAGATTTTTTTTTTGCATTTTCGAGAGAGATAGAAAAAAGAGAAATGATTAAAGTAGTTTTAACAATCACAGACGACATTTTTATGAAAAAAAGACGAATGGTTTTTAAAGGAAAAAGAGAGAGGGGGGTTAACAGAAAAAAGAGCAAAAAATTGAAAATTTAGAAGACGAACTCCTCATCAGTGGTCATTGTCATGTCGATGGCCCAGCGGAATTTCTCGCGATGAGTTTTGGTGAACACCTGGAAGAAAATAATGAATTTTAGAGATTCAACGACATCGACTGGACCGATTTTGAACCATTTTTCCTCAATTTTGGACCATTTTGGATTTACTTTTGATCATTTTGGACAGATTTTGGACCATTTTGACCCCAATTTAGGCCGATTTTCGATTTTTTTATATCATTTCGGACAGATTTCTGGACCTCTTTTGATCACTTTGAACCGATTTTGGGCCATTTTTCCTTAACTTAGGACCATTTTGGACTATTTCTGACAATTTTGATCATTTTGGACCATTTTGACCCACATTTGGTGCTAATTTTTGATTTTCTGGTCATTTGGGACCTATTTTTGACTGTTTTTGATCATTTTGGACCGACTTTGTGTCATTTTTTAACTAAAATTCCTCGATTTTTCAGCTAAATTTTCAGGCCTTTTTAGGTTTTTCGGCTATTTTCGAAGATTCTTCTTCGATTTTCCAGTGTTTTGTTTCAAATTTGATGGAACGGTGTTTGATTCAACATATTTTTTAGGTTACGGTAGTTGTCGTTGTGGGTTCTTTGGCCACGGTCACAGTTCTAGTTTTTGTACCAGAGCAATACAACTTGTATTAGAAGGGCCCGCCTTCAAAGGTAGAGCCCTTCTAATACAGGTTTTACAGTAAATGTCGAAGAAAAAGGATTCTTACCCTCTCCAACGGCACTTCGAACTTCTTACACCACGCAACCGTGATTCTGGGATCAATGTAGTTGAGTTTAGACGTTCCAAGGGCGATCTGCTTGTTCTCATCCTTGTCAGTTCTCTGGATCTTCAACTTTTTGAGCTGCTCCTTCTTCTGATCGTACTTCTTCTGGGCCTTCTCCTTCTCGGCACCACGAGCAGACTTCAGTGCGGCCTCGGCCTCCTTGACCTCAGCTTTTTTGTCTTTAATCTGAAAAATTAATCTGAAAAAACTTTTCCTTTTTAGAGACATTACCTTTTGCTCCAACTTGGCCATCGATTCATCAAACCCTTTCGACACTGCACGTTGATGGTTACACAGAATGGCGACTTGTCTGTTGGCTCTATTATAGGATAGAATCTTGGCAGCCACGTTGTCATCTGGATTCGTCAGTTTGATAAGCTGCTCTTGAAGTGTAATCGATGCATTGTAGGTACGGAACACCTTCACAGTCAATCCATCCATCAAACTCCTCAAATGCTCATTGAGTGTAGCCGTGTCCAAACGATCGAACAGGTCGTCCCCAGCCTTCTTATTCTCCATGAACAGCTTGAGATTCTTGAATACACGCTTCTCGACAGCGACTCTGTTGAAGTAGCGAATCGAATCCTTACCAAGGAAATCAAACTCCACAACGAACTCCTTCTCCTTCTTATCAGTCTCCTGAAGTTTTGCCGATTCGAACAGCTTGATATGCTCATAACGGAGTGAGCAACAACCAACAGTATCCGCCGACTCATCCACATCCTTCTCGTTACCAGCACGAAGTGCCAGTTTGTCAATGAAGTAGAGTGCCGTGGCTCTTTGCCGTATTCTCATTTCCTTGGACTTCCAATCCGCAATATATCTCTCTCGAATGCCTCCAATCTTCTTTTTGAGACGTCTCGCAGTTTCATACTTCTCATAATCCTTTGATCCCTTGATCTTGGAACTTGCATTCAGCATAATGTACTTGTTCTGTCCGAGCACACTTTCTGTCCATGAGCAGAGCCAACTGACAGTGTTATCATGTCTCACTTCCTTCCACTTGTGGCCAAGTGGTGGTTTTGGAATCACCGAATCTTTTCCACAGTTGACTATAACGTCTTCCGGAACGATGCGCTTCTTGATGAATCCCATTTTCGGATGTCCTCCTCGTCCACGGAATACACCTGGTGGTTCGATACGGAAATTCGCAATTTTTTCTTTGTGTCCATCAATGATTGCTATTCCATAATCCACGACTTCTTGGGCCTTCTCCTCTTTGATCTTCGCCTTTTCCTCTTTCGTCATCGCTTTTCTAATCTCCCGCTGCTCATTCTGATACTCAACAATATGCGTAAAATCGCATTTCGCCAGGTCTGTGATCTTCTCTCGTTCGCCAGAAGTCATCAGCTTTCTCCAGTCTTTCATGAAATTGGTATTGAATTGAACCTGACTCGAATACTCGTGATTCACGACTCCAGCATAGAACGTAGCACACTCTTCTGCCGCCGGTGATAGCTTCATTCGATGACCATTGTATTTGAAGTGAACATGATCTGGAAGGGGAATGTAGGCGGGCGCGAAGAGTGGACCACAGTGTTGAAGGGTATTCCATTTGACACCGTCTGGCTTCTTCTCTTCTTTCCACCACTCCCAAATCTCTTCTTGCTCCTCTTTCACCTTCTTCTTGCTTGGCTCTTTTTTGTTATTCTTGGCTGGAGTTGAGGTGCTCGGCTTGTTCTTCTCAGCTTTCGCCTTCTTTTTCTGAAATAATAACCTTGTTGATTGGAATACAGTAACTCAAAATTTTAAATCTACATTTTTAGAAAAGCAACAACTTAAAGACCATGCAAAAAAACCACAACAAGACAACACCTTCTTCTTCTTCTTCTTCTCGCCTTCGTCATCGTCTGAATCCTCGCTATTCTCCTCTTCCATCATCTCCTTCTTGATCTCATCGGAATAGGCATCGCCTGCTTCTTCTTCCTTCACCTTCCGATTCTCCTTCTCCAGCCGTTTTTTCTCCTTTTTCAGCCGTTTTCTCTCTTTTTTCTTTTCCTCTTCAGTCATCGAGGTATCGTCTGAAGCCGTTGACGTCGTAGTGTCCTCTTGTATGCCTTTCTGGAAAAGTGCAAAGGGTGGGGGTTAGGGTGGCATCGTGCAAAGCAAGGAAAGGGTGAAACAAGCAAATTCAGGTGGGAGCAAAACTGAGAATTCGGACATTTTGAGCAGTTTTTCGAACTGCAAGTTGCATAATTTTTCAATGAGCAATTTTTAAAACAGCTCACATTTGACCCTAAAAACACCATTTTATCAATTAAATTGCTGAAAAAAAACCAATTTCCTCGACTTCGAAAAATCAAATTTCCCAAAAATATTCAAAAATTCTGAATTATTTCTTGCAAAAAAAAAAGACTTTTGAGGTCCTGAAAATTGGTTTTTAGCTCTCAAAATGATGTTTTGAGACTAAAATGATACCGGAAAACACAATTTCGTCAAAATTGTAGCTCAAAACTTGCTTATTTTCCGGTTATGGAACTCTCAATTCGAAAAAAAGTCAAATTTCTCAAAATACCATAAAACATGTAATAGAATCGCTCAAAATGATCAAAAACTACCAAACTTCGGATCAAAAAATTTCAAAAAATCATGAACAATGCACTGAAAATGATCGGAATTGAGAAATTCCAGCGTTTTTGGATGAGTTTGAGCTGATTTTAAACCTGTTTTCAGTCTAAAAACGCCCTGGCTGGCGTGCCTTTGACGTTTTTCAACAATATAAATTTCAAAATAAGTTTTGGTCATTCCTAGCTCATTCTAGACGTAAAATGGCTCAATTTTTGATAAATCGGGTGTTTTTTTTTGGAATTTGAAAGTCAAAACTAACGAATTTCAGCCTGAAATTGGACATTTGTTAGGGTTAAAACCATCAGTTTTTAAGCCAAAATTTAACTGAAATTGATGATTTTTAGAGTCAAAATTAACGAATTTTGGATCGGAACTGTGGTCGAATTTTGATCCAATTTTTCTCGGCTCCTATAAGTGATATCAAAAATCTGTCAACTTTATCAGTTGACATAATTTTGATATCTCTTATAGGGACCGAGATAATTGAGCTCAAACTGGACAGTGTGCGTACCCTTCTATTACAGGTTTTACGGAATGTGTGCTGCGAACATAGGGTGGACTTCTAATAGGGAAAATACAGTAATCAGGTGAGAAAAATGGATTTTTAGAGCAAAATTGATAAATTGTGGGTTCAAAAAACTGGGTTAAGATGTGCAAAAATCATAACTGGGTGCGACAAAAGCCAAAAATTCCAAAAATTCCAAAAATTAGAAAAAAAACGAACCGGTGGCTTGACATCCTCCTCGCTGTAATCATCATCATCGTCCTCCTCACTACTCGCCTTTCCCTTCTTCTTATTATTCTTCTTCGATTTCTTCTTCTCCGGCTTATAATCATCCTCCGACTCCTCCTCATCCTCCGATCCTCCAGCCTTCTTTTTCCCGTTTTTCGACGATTTCCGCTTCTCGGGCTTATAATCGTCCTCGGATTCTTCCTCTTCTTCTCCACTCTCTGGTGCCTTCCTCTTATTCTTTTTACTCTTCTTCTCCTTCTTCTTCATCATTTCACCAAATGTCACATCGTCATCGGATAGCATTGGCTCCTCTTTGATCTCCTGTTTGATCTCATCGTTTCCATTCGAATCGTACACTGTTCCATTGCCATTCGAATGATGATTGTTGTGGTGATTGTGATGGTGGTGTGAGTCGACGGCGCTCATTTAGGCGATCCTGGGACCTTCACACTGAAAAAAGGGCGGGAATTTGAAACGGATAAGGTACGAGAAGAGAAGAAAAAGTCAGAAGGATCGGATGATGTGCAATTTTTGGAGGAAAATGGGATTTTTGAATGATATAATATGGCTTAAATCGAGTTCTTTGTAGAATTTTAGAGTCAAAATTAACGAATTTCGGACTGAAACCGAACATTTCAAGGGGTTTTAAGCCATTTCAACGTGTTTTAAGTCAATTTTTTAGCAAAAACTTATATGAAATTTATGATTTTTAGAATTCAAATTGATGCAATTTTTTGCAAAATTGGGATTTTGAAGATCGCGAAAGATCGCGAAAATTAGCTCAAAAAAATGATATAATTTGGACTAAATCGAAGTCTTTCTGGAATTTTAGAGTCAACATTAACGAATTTAGAACTGAAACTGGACATTTTAGGGGGTTTTAAGCCATTTAAAAGTGTTTTAAAGGAGGCCAGACACCAAAAAAAAAAGTTTTCCTGATATTTTGCATAAAGAACCCCCATGAGGGGTTGAACTCATGACAGGCAGCTCAGGGGTACAGCGCTGCTACCGGCTGAGCTACGGGGGCGCGAAGGCGCCTGACGACCGATGGTTACATAAGCGCGGCGCGATTTCGTCCCCCGAACTGTCCCCCGAATTTTTTTGCTGTCTTGTCTCCTTTAAGTCAATTTTTTAGCAAAAATTTATATGAAATTGATGATTATTAGAATCCGAATTTGAGCAATTTTTTGGAAAAATGGAATTTTTAAGATCGCGAAAGATAGCTCAAAATGATATAATATGGGTAAATCGACTTTTTTCTTGAAAACTAACGAATTTCAGAATGAAATTGGGCATTTTGAGGGTTAAAACCGTCAATTTTTGAGGCGAAATTCATGATTTTTAGACTTTAAAATAAACAAATTTTGGGTCTGAAAATTGGGTAACTTTAAGCCATTTTTTCTCGGTTCCTATGAGAGATATCGAAAATCTGTCAACTGATGAATTGCTAATCCTAATATCAGCAATATTTTATCAGTTGACAGATTGTTGACATCTCTGACAGAAATCGAGAAAAATTGGCTCAAAGTTGACCCAAATTCAGATGCGAAAAATAATTTTATAGGGGGCCAGACACCAAAAAAAAAAGTTTTCCTGATATTTTGCATAGAGAACCCCCATGAGGGGTTGAACTCATGACAGGCAGCTCAGGGGTACAGCGCCGCTACCGGCTGAGCTACGGGGGCGCGAAGACGCCTGACGACCGATGGTTACATAAGCGCGCCGCGATTTCGTCCCCCAAAATTTTTGCTGTCTCGCCTCCTTTAAGTCTGAAAATTTTCAATTTAGCGCAATTTTGGCTTAAAGATTTATGGGCTCTTCTATTACAGATACTGCTGTAACCAATCTCTATAGATTTCGGGGGAGAAAATACAGAATTTGGACCACAGAATAGAATGGTTTCTTGTCCCTCAAAGAACTGACATAACCTTCAATTTCTCTAAAATTGATGTCTCTGGAAACCCACAATTTTCGAAAAATTCGACCTCTAATTTTCACTTTCCTAATGATAGCCATCTCCGAAACAGCTATGAAAGATGGCTATCGTTTTTTTTTAAAGTAACCGAAATTACAAAATAAGCGCCTAGATTCTAGGCCCTAAAACCACCTTACGCACGCCGCGGCGGGTCCCACCACGAAATTTCTCAAAGTCCATGAGGACTCTGAGAAATTGATCGTGGTAGAGACCCGCCAGGAAGGAGAGATGTTCTTTTTGAAAATCGTATCGATTTGACACATTAAACTACATTGAATAGAGAAGGAACTGGTTATATATGATGGGATGGATGAGGGTAACGATGATGTGAAGGATCGTAAAGTAATAGAGAAAAAAACGAGAATAACGACTGGATTGATTGGAATAGAGAAGAAGAAAGGGTAGGGAAAGTTTAAAGTGACATTTTTTACAACAAAAAAGAGATTTTAAAGAATACCAGGCTAAATTTTTTAGCCTAAAAACTTGAATTTTCAGACCTAAAAAGCCAGCGAAAATACCGCAATTCCTCTAACACAATCCCATCTAAACCGCCCACTTTGAGCTCAATTATCTCGGCTCCTCTAAAATATATCAAAATTTTGTCAACTGATAAAATGTTCTCATATTATCAGCTCCATTTTATCAATTGACAAATTTTAGATATCTCTCATAGGAACCAAGATGTTTGAGCTCAAAGTTGACAGATTGGATAGGCTTATCTGAGAGGAATACGGTAGTTGAGGTCAGCGTGAAAGTATGGAGTCGCCGGTAATACCGTAATTCACATTATAAACTACTACCCAGGCCGCCAACTTTGACCTCAATTATCTCGGCTCCCCTAAAAGATATCAAAATTTTTTCAACTGATAAAATAGTTCTCATATTATCAGCTATATTTTATCAGCTGACAAATTTTAAATATCTTTTATAGGAACCAAGATATTTGAGGTCAAATTTGACGATTTTTGGGCTTCTAGTAGACTAAATAGGGTATTAAACCGGCACACCTTGATATCAGTCATCTTAGGTATGAAAACTCCAATTTTAGGCGCTAGAGGAGCTCTAGATTGGATGATCAAGTGTTTCCAGTCATTTTTCCTGACATTCAAGCTGGATAGACCAATTTTTAAGCCGTTAAGACCAATACTCTGGTGCTAGCTTAGCCACTCAGCGCCCCAGGAAAAGATTTATGGGTTGCCGCTCGAGTGAAATTGCTCGTTCCACTCCTTGGTGCTAACGGAGCCCTAGTACCCTGACCAATTGGTCTAATGCTGACTTCTCATAAAGAATCCCCTCTTCCTCATCAGACCCCTCTTTTTTGATCTTTAGGTTCTCTTCTCTCCTTTTTCTCGCCCAGTCAGTTCAATGCAACCGAAATGATGGGGGAAGAGTACTGCACCCCAAATGCCCTTTTTGCCGATACGGCGGGGACGCCGCCCGTGTCGTCTCTAGGCGCTGAGTGCTATTTCTCCTTGGGGGCAAAGGGGAAGAGAAGGAAGACAGCTGCATTTTGCATTGTGAAGAGAGCTCGGTGATGTGGAGCTTACTAGAAGTGTTGCTCAGAGAACGATGATGGTCTCCAAAAGAAGATTGGCGGGAGAAGAAGACGTGACTCATGCAGAAGCTGTGAGCAGGCTAAGAATAAACTCTGGAGATCCAAAAATGACGAAATTTCTAGTATTTCTGATAATATATATTGGGTAAATCGACTTTTTTTTTGGAATCTTAGGATGAAAATTAACGAACTCCAGATGTGAAACTGGACATTTTCAGGGTTAAAGTCACCTATTTTTAAGCCAAAATTTACCTGAATTTGATGATTTTTAGAGTCAAAATTAACGAATTTTGAATCGGATTCTAGGTCAACTTTGAGCTCAATTATCTCGATTCCTGTCAGAGATATCAGAAACTTGTCAACTGATAAATTGCTCATCCTAATATCAGCTACATTTTATCAGTCGACAAGATTTTGATATCTATCACAGAAATCGAGATAATTGAGCTCAAAGTTGGCGGCCTGGGTAGTAGTTTATAATGTGAATAGAGGAATTACGGTATCTCAGAAAATTCTCAATTTTCTGGAAGAAATATTGAATTTTGAGCTGAAAATATCACAAAAATCAGGCTCTTAGGCTTGAAAAAAAACGAAAATTGAGGGTTTCCAAGCTAAAAATCGATAATTTTCACCAATTTTTCTAGTGAAAATGGCAAATTTCCGACAGAAACCACCCACTAATTCTAATAATCAGGACACACTGCTAAAGGAACAAACAACACTTGAATATATGGTTTATAACTGTCGCTACCCCTTCGTTTGAACTTGTTTGCCAATGTGACAACTTGACCCTTCCTAGTCTCTCCAAGTGCACACATTGGCTAGACAGACTTGGTCAGTATTGGTATAAAAGTGAAAGTATACTGGAAATTCGATAATTATACTGAAAATTCCAAACAATTCGAAAGGATATCAAGGAATTGGTGAAAATAGAGAAAAATGGAATTCCTGGACTGAAAAACTCGATTTTCAGCGAATTTTCAGGCTCAAAACTCTTCAAAACACGCTCTCCAGGCCTCCTGGAACCTCATCTCGCAATATGGAAGTTCCACGTGTCACCTATTTCGTCATGATTTTTTTTGGAAAAAATGCCCAAAAATAGGCGAAAATTCCATGTTTTAGGCCAATTTTCGGCACCAAAAACCGCCAAACCACTCGTTTTGTACAGAAAAATCGCTAGAAACCCCTAGAATACCCTCGGGCGGCGCATAAATCGATACCGGAACAAGGGAGGTTTTTTGAGGTGTTCCGATGAAAATCAGTGATTTTTTGGGCATTTTTTCGACGGAAATTGTCGAAATTAACGGGTAGTGTGAAGAAAAATGCGAGGAATTCGAGAAAATAGCTGAAAATCGCGAAAAAATGATGAGAAATTGGGCAGGAATTGTTGAAAAAACTGCAAAGTCCGGTCGTGCTATTTAGTGCCAGACGGGGAAGCGGCGCGGTCGCGTCGCGTGCCGATTCGCAATGGAGCGCACTTTCCGACACCCGTGCTTCGTGCTTTTTTTTCGGACAATTTTTGCAAAGTTCCCATAAAATTGAATCGATTTTTCGAGAATTTTTGAGTTCCATTACCTCAAAATGATTTTTTTATCGTTTTAAAATGTGTAGCATATAAAATTTATGCGGATTTCTCCCAAAAAACCGAAAATTTTCAGTCATTTCCAGACTTTTTGTAACTCTGAAAACCTAAAAAATCCTCATTTCTCTCTTCTAATTCTACTATTGCTGTACACTATTCAAAACAGTTCCCTCATTTTTCATGAGGAATTTCTAAAAGTATTGATTTTCGCAAGCAAAACCGGTCTGCCGTTCGTACAGTCTGGTCTGGGTGTTCTATATGTGAAAATCGACGGAAATTCCAGATTTTTGAGCCTAAAATCGTGTTTTCATATAGAAAATATTGTGAAATTGAAGCATTTTTCAATAAAATTCGGCAAAAAATCACAAAATTTTGGCTGAACTATTTGGCGTTGTTCTCAAAGCTTAACGGCTATTTTGAGCTTGTCAAGTCAAAAATGAGCTGAAAAAGCTACATTTTAAGTTAGAAATAGGTTTAAAATGCCAGAATCTGGGCATTTATGCATGATTTCAGCACTTACCTCAATTTTTGGGTTCTGGAACCTGAAATCCATAGAATTTGTGATTTTCAGCCATTGTTCTTCAGCAAAACATAAATTTTTCGAGCTCAAAATCGTTATTTTTCGTTGAGAATTCACTGAAATTCCGGGATTTTTCTGGGAAATTCCAGTTTTTCACAAAAAAAAATTCGAAAAAACTTGACTGACCTAGTTGGCGTTTTTCTTCAAGTTTTAGGATTTTTCGAGCTTTTGAAGACAAAAAATAAGCTGAAAAATTCAATTTGAGAGGTAGAAACAAGTGAAAAATGAGCTGAAAAATTCATATTCCAGCTAGGATCCAATATCTGAAATTTTTGGGCATGATTCCAGCGTTTGAGCTCAAATTTGGGGTTTTAAAGCCAAGATTCTATAAAATTCATCGTTTTTGGGCTGGTTTTTAAAGTTTTTTTTCTCATTTTCTGCTATTTTCTTACCAAAATTTCGATTTTTCGGAGTTAAAAAACTCAACAATTGACCGGCTTTTCACTCTTTTCTCTCCATTTTTTGACTTATTTTCTGCCAAATTTCTCTAAATTTGACGATTTTTCCAGAAATGACACGACCGCAGCAGCCACGGATAGACCTAAATCACGGATACATGCGGTTCATCCGCCGAAACCAGTTGGATCGCGACGAGTTCGATCGTGTGCACGAGCAGAGGAAATCTGAAATTCGGGAGAGAATCAGCGAAGCACAACGGGCTGCCGAGACAGCGAAACGACCAAATGTCTACGTTCCACCGCATCTTAGACGGCAGAGAGCAGCAGCAGAGTTGGAGCAGGCAGTGATGAGTGAGTTTGGAGAGCAATTTTAGAGAAAACTGAGAGATCAGAATTCAGAATTACCGTAAAACCTATAATGGAAGGGCCCCTGCACTATATTAGAAGCGCTCATGTATTAGAAGGGCCCCTACAAGTTCGAGCTCAATTATTTCGATTTCTCTCAAAGATATCAAAAATCTGTCAACTGATAACATTTTAGTGAGATTATGATAAACAATTTATCAGTTGACCGCTTTTTTGCATCTTTGACAGGAACCGAGATAATTTGGTTCAAAGTTAGGGTCCCTTATATTAAAGGTTTTACGGTATGCTAGTTTAAATCACTATGTATCATGCGGAATCTGGCCTTTCAGATGATGACATTCCTCTGGGGCTCTCATAAGAAATTCATTTGTACTGAAGTATTTTGACTGGACAGAGCTAGAAAATTGAGTAAAAATTGACTAACCGGTTCAAATTTGGGCCTCAGAGAACGCCTATTTTGATTCTGGGGCGCCAGAGGCGCGTTTCAAACAAAAAAAATACATTTTCTGGCGTTCCAGAGCGGAAAACTTGCATAGTTGACCTCATCTAGGCATTTCTTGCTTCGAAAAGGCTCAAACTTCGGTCAATCTAGCGAATTTGAGCCATTTTTTAAGCTCTTATTCCGAGAAAATTGAGTTTTCTAGCGTAAAATCATGGCAGACTGAAATAATTACAAATTGCGAGCTCAAAAATCCGAAACTACTGTATTTTCTCAAATAGGAACCCACCTTCGAATTTGAGCTCAATTATCTCGATTCCTGTGAGAGATACCCAAAATTTGTCTGCTGATAAAATGCTTGTGGTATTATGATAAGCAAATTATCAGTTGACAAATCGCTGATATCATTCACAGAAATCGAGATAATTGAGCTCAAAGTTAGGGGCTCTTCGAATACAGGTTCTACAACAAACATCTCCCTTTTCTCTAAAAATCCATATAATTCCAGACCCTCGCTCTACACCGTCTCGATCAGATTCATCGGATTCCTCGACACACTCGGACGATCATCCAGAAGACGTGGCGGTGGTGGATTGTCCGATTCGAAAGAAACAAAAAGACGCGGATGATCACGTCAGGAGACAAGTTCGAAAACGAATCGAACGAACGTATCCGACAGTTGATGATATATGTTGCACATTAGCCAATTATAGTCTACAAGAAGAGGAAGATGACGTTGGAGGTGGAGGAGACGAACACGAGGATTTGTTTGTGTTGGAGTTGACACTCAAAAATGGAGAACCGAAGACGATTGGAGTGCCTAGGGTGAGGAAATAAGGGGATAATGTCTGTTTGAAGCTCTTCTGGAGCTAGCTAGAGCTATTTTGATCTAAAGACGTCTAAAAATGGTGGAGAATGATTGATATGTCTATAATTCTGAATATCTGACAGGAAGATGAAAATGAGACTTTTGGAGGCAATTTACAGAACATTTACTTATTTTTGCCTGAAAAATGTCTGAAAACAGCAGGAAAACATGTAATTTAGATAGGTAGCCAAGCATACCGCAAAACCTCTATTAGAAGTGCCCTTCTGGGGGCTTCCCCGAAATTTTCTTTAGCAGCTTTTTTCTGCAAATTCTGCAATTCACCTTTAAATTTGGTGTCTGAACCCCCTGCCTGACCCACATCTCCTCTTCATTTGACCTCCAATTTTTTTTCCAATTTTTCAATGACGCACCAAAATTGTCTCTGCCCCTAGACGACTATGACCGTTTGAATGAAAAAAAAAGAGAGATTGGAGACAGAAAGAAGACGTTGAGAAGATTTATCACCACCTAGATTTATCACCAGTGGAGATATCACTTGGTTAAGGGTGAAGATTTAGGGTCTTCGGAGAGGAGTAGGGTAGTACTACTACGCTACTACGGTAGTTGCAGGAAAACCTGAGAATCTGGCTTGAAAAAGCTGACATTTTCAGCAGAAAAAAAAAATCAAAATTGCTAAAAATGCTCTGAAAAATCCTCAAAATTAGCTTATTCTAAAATACGCTGAAAATGACCTAAAAATCGTCATTTTCGGTATTTTCCAAGTCAAAATAGGTTAAAAATGACCTCAAAATCGTTAGAAAAAGTCCAGTTTCAAGCTCAACTAGACTGAAGATATGTCTTTTTCATGCTAAAATAGGCTAAAAATCCAATCTATGGCCTAAATAGGCTAAGAATCAGGCAATTTTAAACTAAAATATGCTGGAAATTCCCATTTTCGTATATGTTGAGCGCAATATATCATTAAAATGACCTCAGCATCGTCAGAAAAGATCAATTTTGGCCGAGAATATGCTGAAAATGATCTAAAAATCTTCATTTTTGGAATTTTTTGGGGCGAGATAGGCTAAAAATACTCTTTAAAAAAGTCAGAAATGTGCTGAAAATGACCTTAAAATTGTAAAAAAATCGAGAATTTCCGACTAAAATATACTGAACACGATGAAACGATCTATAAATCGTCGAAAAATAGGCTATTTTAAGCTAAACTAGACAACAATGTGTCAATTCTGAGCTGAAATAAGCTGAAAATGGCTCGATTTCGAACTAGAATATACGAAAATCTGGGAATTTCGGTCCAAAATAAACTTGAAATGGCTCAATTCTAAGCTAGAATAGGATAAAAATGAGCTAAAACAGCCTAACCATTGGTCAATTTAGGGCTGAAATAGGCTTAAAATGACTCAATTTGAGCTGGAATATGCGGAAAATTGTTCAATTTCTGACTAGAATAGGCTTAAAATGACCTTAAAATTGTAAAAAATCATAAGTTTTAGACTAAAATATACTGAAAACGATGAAAAATAGGCCATTTTGGGCTAAACTAGACGGAAAATAGGTCAATTTTGAGCTGAAATAAGTTACAAATGGCTCACTTTCAAGCTAAAAATGACTCAATTTCGAGCTAGAATAGAATAAAAATTAGCCAATTTTGGGCAAAAATAGACTAAAAATGATGATAAAACCCCAAAAATCGTGATTAAAAATCCGATTTTCCTCTCAAAATCCCCCTTTCCAACCTCAAAATTTTTTCCAGAACACAAAAGCGGCCCGTCTCGCGAAATCCATATCCCGCGAGAACAATTTCGACGACTCGCAGTGCCGAAACCTGCGTCTTTTCATCGAAGAACAACTCGAATTGCGTATGGCAAGCCTTAGAAGACGTCGGAAGTCTCCAGAAGCATCACTACCAACGTCTCCAACCACTTCGACGGCTTCTGAATCCTCAACGACGCCTTGTTTGATACCATTCTGTGTTTAGCTCTATATCTATTGTATAGCAGCTATTACTTGAATATTTGTAATTCTGGATTTTTTTTCCTAATATTTGATTTTTAATTGTCTCGTATAGAGATTTTCGTCCGATTTTTGTCCTTTCTAGCCTAAAAACTGCCTATTTTTCGATTTAGAAACCTCGTTTTTCTAGCTTAATAATGCTAATTTAGGTGTCATATGAGCCTGTTTTTCACTGCTGTCTGTGTTCAATTTTTCCCAAAATTATTACGAGTTTCTGCCCCCCCCCCCCCCCATTTTGTTTCCAAAAATCCCTGTATTTTTGACCCCTGTAGACGCAAATTTCGTTGTTGAAAATTCAAAAAATTCGGTTTTTGATCTACTCGTCACCTCTTCCATCCTGTGTCCCCCCGCCATTTTTTTTCTGCATATCGTTTTTTTTAAATTATTATTCAAAAATAAATTTCTGATTGGTTTCCGGCCGTCTAGAGGCTTTTCTAGGCGGCCTTTTTTGACTTTATCTGGTCGTTTTTATCGACTTTTTGCTATCTTTTTTTGCATTTCTTCTCCCGATATTTTGCACTTTTCCGTTCTTTTTTCTCTATTTTCCTTCAAAATTTTTTGTTATCATCTCTCCATTTTTTCCCCTTATCAACCCAAATTTTTTGCGCTATCGACATTTGACAATTCTATGAGAAGACGACGACCCTGTTCTTTTTTTTCCTTTTTTTTCGTTCCCCAGTCTCGTGGTATTCGTCTTCTTCTCCTTCTGTTTCAAGGTTAAAACAAGATTCTGAAGAAGAAGACCACCGGGAAGCAACAAAAAGAAAAAACAACGACACTCCGATATTCCGCTGTTAGAAGATTTGTCGTCGTAAATCGACACAGAGCGGTGTCTCGAGGTGTTGGGGGTTACTGGTTTCTTTTTGTAGTTTTTTATGGGGTTTTAGACATGAAAATAAGGTTTTTAGCGATAAAAAATTGATAATTTTAATTTTTTGATGATTGAAAATTGACTTTTGAATAGATGTTTTTATGTCGAAAAATCTGATTTTTACTACTCGATTTTCCCGATTTTTTGAACTAAAAACTACTGATTGACTACCCGAAAATCGTCCCAAACAGCTATTTTCTATTGGATTTTAAACGATTTTTGACTTAAAATAATCAGTTTTTTTGTCAATTTAACAAATCATTTGCAGTTTCAATGCACGATTTTTTCAAATTTTGACTGGAATTTTCACACTTTCGAGCTCGAATTTGCCTATGAATTCCTCCGAAACCGGTGAATCCTGTTAAAGATTTTTATGTTAGAACATAGATTTTTTTTCTCGAATTTCCTTATTTTTCATTGATTTTTCGACACCAAAAACTAGTAATTGACTAGCAAAAAGCTATTTTCTATTAGAATTTCAATGATTTTCGGTTCGAAAATGCTCAGTTTCTCTCGTTTTATTAATTTTTCTCCATAGTTGCAAGCGGGGCGGCTGATAATTTGACACTAAAACGAGAGATTCAAACAGTTTTGATACCAAATGATAGATCTCCACAGGGCCCATCACGCCTATATCATTAGAGCCGGATTCCGGTCCGGTTTCTTTCGAAATATGTGTTTGAATGACAATTTTCGACCAATTTGACAAACATCAGATTTTTTGTCATTCAAATACATTTTTCGACATGTTATCGGACCGAGATCCGGCTCAAATGATATAGGCGTGATGGGCCCTGTGGAGATCTATCATTTGGTATCAAAACTGTTTGAATATCTCGTTCTAGAGACAAGTTATCAGCCGGCCCGCTTGCAACTATGTTTTTCCCCAGAAAAAAACGGAAAAAATTGACTGAAAACGTTAGAAAATCGAGAAAAGAAATCCGGAAGATCAAATGTTCGTTAGGTTACTGTAGTGATCGTTGTCCACGGCTCTGATTTTTTGTACCAGTATAATAGTTTTTGGCTTGAATATACTCATTTTCTCCTTCTTTTTGTCTCCAATTTCATTTGAAAATTTCCAATTTGAACTCTAAATTTCCCATTTTTGCAGGGCCCGGACTAGGCGTCCCCGCCACCCCATCCGTCACAATTCCCGTCCTTCCACCGTCAGCAGAAGTAGCGCAAGCCGTGCCACAAGATCCCCATCCAAGAGACCCCAATCACCGTCCACAACCACAGAATCAGCAGAATCCAGCACAAGATCCTGCAGCTCCTCCTGCCCGCCGAGGTTACGCTCACGATAATTCAGTGGTGACACCGATGACGATGGTGAAGACGTTGGTGGCACTGGCCACTGAGAGAATGCTTCTGAAGACGAGTGGACCCACGTTTTTGAGAGGAATCGAGTTTATGTACGCGGCTGGATTGGCACCAGACAGACTATCGGTTATGATGACGTCTTCACACAAATATGTGCTACAGTTTCATTCAAAATGTGATATCAGACCGTTTGCAGCGAATTATCCCAATTTTGGAAGGGTTCTCAGAGGCATTGGTGAGGCTATATGGGTATAAAATCGCGTCAAAGGCGCTCCAGCAATTTTTCTCAATTTTTTTTTCGAAGTCTTGAAATCCTGCAAAATATGGTTTTCGCTTCATAAAAATACACGACAATACCTGAGGTTTTCTGGGTGAAAAAAACGCGCCTAAGGCGCCCCAGCTTGTCTGATATTGCCTGTCGAGAACTGATAAGAATTCGTTTTTGAGATGAGCAATGCTCCTGAATTGAAGAAATTGACGAATAATGGTACCTAAACTTTGTATATTGTGTTCTAAACTTGTCTAATTTTGAGTCCAAGCATAGGTTCTCAGAGGCATATGTGGGGCTTTTAGGGCTCAAAAATAGCGTCATCGGCGCTCCAGCTCGTCTATTATTGCCTGAAGGAAACTGATAACTCAATTATAGCCTCATTGAATCTTTGAAATCACAAAAAAAGGATAAAAATTTTATCATAAAATCTCTCAAGAAACCTACTTTTGGTCCAAATTTGATAAGCTGAAAATTTCATCCTAAAATTCTTCTGACTTTCAGGTTAAAAATTTCATCCTAAAACTGTCTAATTTTCAGTCCATGTCCGCGAATGGCGCATAAAATCGATTGAATTCGTAAACGTTGCCTTCTACATGCGCGACGTTGACAATCTGGAACGAGCGATTGAGAAGCTGGGCGTCGAGCTGGTTCTCCTCCGAAATTGCACATATCCAGGAGTCAACCGAGGCGATGAAGCCGTCAAATTTCTGTCGGCACTGAACAGAAAGAAACAAGCAGTTGTATGTGAATACGGTGATGATCGTCTGAAGCATCGAATCGGAAGGAGGGCAAGCGGAGGACACAGAACACGACGAGCCAGTAGGAATGGAGCAGGCGCAGGACAAGAAGTCGTTCCTCCAGATGCGGCGAATCCACCGCCAGCGATTCCAGAAGGACCAGGACCAGCAGCAGCAGCGCCGATCATCGCCCCACTACAGGCACGTGTACAAATTCAAGAAGTCCGCCGCCCGATCCCTTTGAATCAAGAACAAGCTCGCAGGATAATGAATCAGCAGCTGATACCACTGGAACAAGTGGCTGCGGTGGCTCCAGGAGTTGTTGGAAACGATGAGCCACAGATTAGACCGGGACCACAGCCATCGAATGGACGAGTCGTCGTCGGAGCACATGTCTACGAATTCAGAGCCATTGATGTGCCACCCAATGGAGATCAGCCACAGGTTCATAATGTTAGTAGTTGTGTGGTGTGAAAATTGGCTTCTTTTGATCTATTTTCAGCAGAAAAATAGGGGAAAAAATTGAAAAATATGGTGACAGGTTTTTTAGAAGCATCTGGAAGGTTCTGGAAGCTTTTAGATGCTTCTGGAAGATTCCGAAAGGTTCTGGAAGCTTTCAGATGTTTCTGGAAGATTCTGGAAGGTTCTAGGAGTATCTGGAAGCTTCTAGAAGTTTTCGAAGAGCTTGTCCTTTTGAGAAAATTTGAAAAATGGCTGAAAAGTGCCTCCTCCAATCCGTCTCCATTAAATACAGAGCCTATTTCCAGGTCAACCACCTCCTGAACGTGCTCCAGGACAACTCTGCAAACGACGTTCGTGTCATAGTCCTCCCATCCCGTCAAGGCCAACCAGGAGGCAACCCAATCAACCTGAACAACAATGATAACAATGGAATGCCGGCAGTCCCAGCAGACGCCTCGTTCCAACACTATGTGGCTCCGATTCGTGCTCAAATTCCGGTTCTTCACATGCCACCACAACCGGCACAGAGAGGAGTTCCAATGCAACAGGCACATATTCATTACGAAGCACCCGCACAGTTGATGGGAGCCAGAGGACAGTTTCATTTTAATGGTGAGATTTTTGTTTGATTGGGATTGCTCAGCATTGAAAAAGAGCGAAATTTGGGTTCTTCCTTTGATTTTTCATTCAAAAAAGTGACATTTTAAGGCGAAAAATATGATTTTACGAGCCAATTTAAAGCCACTATTGAGCTAAAAATCGACGGTTTGAACACAGAAAAATAGAATTCAAGAGCCAATCTAGAGTCATGTTGAACTAAAATTTAAAATTCCCGCAATTTTGTTTTTGGAAGTAATCGAAATTGTGTGATTTTTTGAGCATTTTCAGCACATTTTTGACGGATTTTCAACTCAAAAATCAACATTTTTAGCTTCTTTTTTGGTATTCCTCGCTAATTTTTAGGCGGTAGGCTAGATTGCTCAGCTTATTCAGTTGAAAAAGAGCGACTTTAAAATAGTGAATTAGATTGCTCGGCTTCTGAAGAAGAGCTCTTAAACAATCCCTACTAGATTCAGCTCATCGCAATGAACTTGTGAATCGTGAGCCCCTCCACCATCACATTGCTCATATTCCATTAGGACCGTCGGTTCCAATGTTTGGAGACGCTGTCAACGAGCCACTAGTCCAACGAAACGGTGACGATTCGAACGATTCGACGGACCGGGAGGAGATGGCCGATGATGCGGAGCAACGGCGAAATGAGGTGTTGAGGGATTTGGTGGCTGGTGAGAGAAGAAGATTTTTTGAAAGTTTTTAGACTAAAAACGAGAATTTGCAGATCCAGAAGCTCAGCCGAACTTTGCGCCAGTCGAGGCGGAAGCTGTAGATTTGGATATGTTGGAGGAGGAAGCAGAGGGAGAAGGTGAATATTTCGTGCTGAACTTTTGAAATTTGCAGCTCTATCAACCTGAAAAAAAGAAAAACATCATCAGAAACAGGAAAAATGATGTTCAAATACGCCAAAAATCCACATTTTCCATTGCTCAGCTCACCGTAAAACCTTTAATAGAAGGGCCCTCTAACTTCCAACTTTGAGCCCAAATATCTCGATTCTTGTGAAAGATACTAAAAATTTGGTAACTGATGAATTGTTTATCATAATAAGACAGATATTTTATCAGTTGACAAATTTTTGATATCTCTCGTAGGAATAGAGATAAATTGGTCAAAAATTAGGGAATCTTCTATTACAGGTTTGACGATTTTCAGATGGTTTTGGGCTTTTGGGCAACTGTTTTAAAAATCAAAATTTGGCTATTTAAATAACTCAAAAATCAAAAGTTTAATTGCTCAGCTTAATACCGTAAAACCTGTAATAGAAGGACCCCCAAAACTATGAACTTTGAGTTCAATTATCTCGATTTCTGTGAATGATACTAAACATTGGTTAACTGCTAAAATAATTATCATAATATCACCAATATTTTATCAGTGGACAGATTTTTGAAATCTTTTACAGAAAATGAGATAAATTGTCTCAAAGTCGACAGTGTGGGGGCCCTTCTATTACAGGTCTGACGATTTCTAGATAATTTTGGGCTTTTTGGCAGCTATTTTGAAAATCAAAGTTTTGCTAAATACGCCGAGAATTGAAATTTCCACATTGCTCAGCTTATCACCCCTTATCCCGTTTTGAGCTTTACAGAGGACGAAGTGATGGAAGGTGTGATTGTCAATGGGCAGCAATTTGTGATCGAAAATCAACAACAACCAGTCATTCAATAATCATTTTGTCTTTCTTGTCTCTTCTCTTGTCTCATACATTCTCCATTTCCAGTCGTCTATGCTTCTTCTCGTCGAAAAATACTGTTTTTTTAAAATAACATCCGGGTAGTTTTTAGGATATCATGTGTTTCGCTTCGTCTCTTTTTTTCTTCAAAAATACGCCTGTTTTTTCCTATCTAATCACCTAAAAAAGTCATATAGTTTTACAATAACCCAGTTATAACCTTAACCCCTTCGTTTGAAATGTGCCTTTTCCCTCTTAAAGAAAAACATATAGTTTTACAATAACCCAGTTATAACCTTAACCCCTTCTTTTGAAATGTGCCTTTTCCCTCTTAAAGAAAAACTCCTCCTTTACCCACCAGCCTACAGTAATCCCAGTGCCGCCCAACCTACAGTAACCCAAGTCCCAAAAAATTTCCACACAAAAATTGTCTCATTTACACTATTTGTTGGTCCCAAAAGAGTGTCCCCCCTCTGTCACTTTTTCCCCGTTTTTTTGGATTTTCAGCCAAAACGTTCCTGCTAAAAATCCCAAAATGTCCCCTACCATGTCTCTATTTCTTCTGTCCCCTTTGATGGTGTACTGTAGGTTTTATTTTAATGTCCATATATATTTGGGATTTTTTATATATTTAGCCCCGCCCCCCTCCAGCCTACAGTACCCATCATCCCACCAAAAACATGTATACTCTCTCTCTCTCTCTCCTTGGAATTGTTTTTCTTGAATCTTGAAATCTTGAAAAGTTGAAAATTCTTGAATTTAAAAAGTTGAATTTCACTACAAAATTTGCAAAAATTGGAAATTTGTGGAATAAAAAACCATGTAATGAGCCATTTTTCCAATATTTTTAATGTTTTTTCTTGCTTCGCCCCTATCGATTTTCCCGTTTTTCCAGAATTTTTAGCATTTTCTAGAACTTTGTCAAATAGTTTTTTCAAAAAATTTTCCAATTTTTAAAAAATCTGAATTTCAAAAGTTTCCGGATTTTGAAAATTCGAAAATTCAATATATCCCTGTTTCGAAATTTTCGGATTTTTGAAAAATCAGCAATTCGAGAATTCGAAATATCCCGATTTTGAAAAATTTAAATTTTCCGAATTTACAAAAAGTCTGAATTTTCAGAATTTCGGAATTTTCCGATTCCAAAAAATCAGAATTTCGGAAATTCAAAATATTCCAATTTTAAAATTTGGAAAATATCGGAATTTCTGAATTTTTCGATTTTTAAATTTTCCGAATTTTTGAAATCTCTGAATTTCGAAAATTCAAAATCGCCTGATTTTTTTCGAAATTTGTGGATTTTCGGAATTTTTCGATTTTCAAAATTTCTCTATTTTTTCTTCTCAAATTTTTTCAGAATTTTTTAGACATTTTTTTTCAGAATTTTCTAGAAATGCGATTATCCTACCGTACTCTTCTCTCAAGCCCCGCCTCTCTTTCTCCACTATCAAAACGGCCGATTTTATCATCGAAAAAGCCGAAATCCGAAGGCGATGCCACGTCATTTGTGGATTTCCGGCGAGTACGGTGTGTAGCTGGAAACGGAGGCAACGGGATGGTCTCGTTTTTTCGAGGATACAAAAATCCGTTTGGTGGACCGGATGGAGGCGACGGAGGACACGGGGGACATGTCGTTTTTAGAGGTTTAGAGAGATAGCGAGAGAGAGAGAGAGACGCAGAGAAAGAGGAAATTCATTTTCCCGGAAAAATTTGCTTCAAAATGAGCTAATTTTCACTTCTCTAGCTCACCGGAGAGCTGAGATAAGAGGGAGAGAGAGAGAGACGCAGAGAAGCTAGAAACTTGAAAAATCGATTTTTTAGCATCGAAAAGTGCCAAGGATCTGTCGACGGTTCACTCGATTATAAGGGCTCACAATGGAGAGTTTGGGAGGTTCGGGAGTCTTATCTTTTAGCAATAGAGCGAGTTTGCATCATTTGAACATCAGAAGGATGAAAGCGCGCTCCACTGGACTTTGATTGGGTGGCGCCAAATTTCATATTTTTGCTCAAAATGGTCTAAAAATGGCCTAACATCACCGTGGTGGGATTTCTAGGCCATTTTGAGGTGGTGGCCCTAATAATGCCAACGCGCTCTATGAAACCCTCGATTATCAATAGAGCGCACTTTCTTCACTTGAGAACCAAATCATGTGATGGCAAATCAGCGGAACACAAAGAGATCGATGTACCACTGGGTACTGTATTTAACGCTGGCGGATAGACTGCTGTTGAGTTGAACAATGAAAATGATGTTAATTTTTCTCCACCTTTTTTTTGGGCTACTGGAATTACCAACTTTTCCATTGTTTCCGATTTTTCCTGACGTCACTCTTATCTTTTTTGGATTACTG